GGATTAGTAATAATTCTTCCCTCATGAAGCTCCATGGATTAAGTTAATTAATACTTCTAAAGTACTTGGGATAATACCTGGCATATAGTAAACACACAATATATGTTTGCTAGTATCATTATGCCATTAATAATTATGCTGCTTCCAAGTGTAAATAGGAGTCTTTTACATTTTTAAATAGATTCTCCTAAGTTCTGTGGGAACTTAATCACCCAGATACTTATATGACTTAGAAAACTTGATGAAAATAATCGAATATTTTACTTTGCCTTTTATTCCTCAATATACACATATAAATTTCATTATACAATGTTAATTATGTGTTATTTATTATAAGCATGTAACAGGTTACATATTATATGGCACACTTTTCTATCATGTTCTTTTAATTTTGTATTTCATATTTTTTTTTCTATTCCCAACCTGTAAGTTATAGAGGAATTGATTGGAATAAATGAGATGTAAATCAGCAGAGACACCAGTAAGATGGTAGCTGCAGAACGAAGGGTAGGTACAGCTCCATTGTCTTGCCTTTACACTAGAGAAAGGTAAGAAAACAAGTCAACAAGATAGAGTACTTTGCCTGGTAAACAGTATGAATGAATAAATGATAATGAATGAATGAATGAATATTACTTGTCCTACTCTATTTACAGGCCATCTTTCCCCTTACACTATTTCCCTCTATTTCAATCTTTTTTATAATTTTAAATTTTTATTAGTATAGGTTTGCAGTATACAATGATTCCATTTATCGTGGGCTGTGGGGAGTTGACACATGTATATAACATATCCTAACTCTTTTTCACTTCCCTTCCTTCCCCCCTTCCTTCTCCCCCCCCCCCACTTCCTTCATTGCATTGTTAAATTTCCTCTTCTAATACTGGCTTATACACGAACATCATGCGAGCTGAACACAACAAATATTATATCAGAAAACAAAAATGTATTCACTTTAGTAACTTTCACCTTTCCTGAACTCTATTAATTTTTCTGTGTCATCTACTACTCTTGGTATAAATCTCTCGGGCTTCTTTTTCATCAAAAACCACCTCAGTGCTCTCAAGCACTTTATACTGATTAAGTTGAAAGCAGCAGTAGCCCCCTCCCCATCACAGTCATGATTAGTGTGTTTTCCAAGCCTAGGAAGGAGAGTGGAGGAGATGTGAAAAGACATCATGCAACAGTCACTCTGTCCTTCTGCTGTTTTCTTAGGAGTTAGGCCCGACAGGTAAGAGTCCAGGGCTTCTGAAACTGGGTGTTCAACAAATACAGTTTGAAGCGGGCTTGCCATGAGGACTATGGCTACCCGTGTGACCATCCTTCCTCCAGACTGCCGCTGTCTGACTGCTGCCTCCTCCTCATTAGATTTCCACTCGCTTCTGTCGCTGTTTTCTTCCAGACTACAGTCCGGGCCAAAAAGCTCCTCAGTCTATCCTTGCTCAGCTGAGAGCGTCTCCTCCCTTCTTCTCTTGCCCGCTGTTAAACAGTACTTTTTTATACTACCCAGAGTATGCTGCCTTCGCAGATGAATTGCTTCTTCTTAAAAAAAAAAAAAAAGGAAATAAAATGATTCATGATCTTGACCCTTGGGGCTGGAAAGTAATGTCTCACTGAGTGAAAAGGCAGGACAAAACTCTAGAGAAACTGCAGTTTATATTTCAGCTCGTACCTGTTAACTTCCCAGCAGCGGGTGGAAATTATTGTGAAGAAACAAGAAAGAATTTGGCAAGGGTGCATGGAAATAGAAATAAAAAAAATACCCTGTATATAAAAAATTAGGGAAGGCAATCATTACTAGTCTAGCTACTAGTAGCATTTAGTCGCTGGTTCATTTATTCATTCAGGATATAATAATCTCTGGGAAAAATTTATTCCAAAACATTACTCCTTTGGTCATCTTATTTATACGAAGTAGACTTACTAATCCTAGCACCAAAGACAAAAATGAAAACGTAAGATATATGAAACAAAACCAGACTGTAAGAATGAGGCCACACTGCTTTACCAACCTGAATCTCAGAAGTGTTGAAGTTTCATTAAATAGGAGATTAAAAGAACAGAAAAAATGGAACACACTTACTTTTTGCATTTCTTTCTTTAAAAGTTATACATTATTTCAAAAAAAATAGTTACGTTTATAATTTTAAAAACACCTCACCTTTCTCCCTTCTGTATCTTGAGAATTTTATTCCATTGTTCATTTACAAATAAATGTTTATTAAGTATCTTCTCTGTGCAAGGCAGTGATATAAACAAAGCACAGTTTCTGAATGAACTCACATCTGAGAAGACACACAAGTGTTCAACAAAATATCTAAAGTATAATAAGAGGAATTTCACCAGGTCAGACACGGCTCGAGGAAGAAAGGGGTAACTCGGGGGAGTTAGAGAACAACACGAGTGAAAGACACCAGACAGATGAGGTGGTGTGCGGCTTCCCGGGATGAAAATAAACTGTATGCACGAAGACGCGGACTGATGAATCAACAGGAATGTCATCTCTTCTGCAAGCCAAGTGGTGTAGTTAGAGTGTGGGAGGAAAGTACATGTTGAGACTGCAAAGCTTGCCAGTGGCATAGTCACAGAGGGTTCAAATGTAAAGTTAAGAAACAGAGCTGGCTCTACGCAGTCACTACACTAGCATATCAGCAAGGCTCCAAAGGAGGAGGAAAAATTTCTGAAAGATCACAGCTGACCACAGTGTGGAAGGAGGAAACCGGCTTATTGACTGTGACTCTTGGCCTTCTGCGGATTCTTCCTCACACCTACCTATGAAAATATCTTCCAGTGCCGTATGCCGCATACTTCTAAATATTTTCTAGGATTATCTTTATAAAAATAAATCTTTTAAACAGACACATAAAATCATTTGCCAAAACATACAATTTTTAGTCTCAGTCTCCTAAAACAACTTTCTTCCTACTTAGAATCTTAAGCAATAACACCTAAGGCTCGCGTGATCCTTTGGTTACATTCTAGTCCCATACGGTTTACACTATTGCCTATCAATGAATAGACAAATCAGGTTTGATTTTGCTGAAATTATTCATAATTCATATACCTTCTGTCTTAAAAATGAAAGTCCTCGACCCAACAAACAGTGCTTAATTTACCTCCAGAAGTTATTTTGAAATGAACCCATCCCCAGTATCACTTTATAGTCCACAATGGTCTCAAACTTACAAGGATTCTCCTGCCTCAGCCTCCCAAGTGCTGTGATTATAGGCGTGCATCACATTTGCTCAGCTAACTCCCCTTGTTTTCACTAAGAACATATCACTTGTATATATCTTTGCATTATTATAAGCAGCTTTACATCACAATTTTAGAACAATGCAGACCATGTAGTTTAGTTTCTCATTTAATTGAGATAAAAATTTTAAGAGTGCATGCATATATACATGTTTACATAGTTATGTATATATGTACACATGTACACGCACATACATAAATGGAACCACCACCCAGATCAAGATGTAAAATATTTCCAACACCTCAGAAAGATGTTTTATAACATTCTTATTCATTACTTCCTCAGAGTAAGCCACTAAATTGATTTCTTTTTTGCAAAATTAGTACATGTAAGTAATCCATAATTAATACATTTGCTGTAAGGAGTTGACCCTTATACCTATGACACCTTAATCTTTTTTGCTTGTTTCTCTTCTCTCCCCTCTTCCTCCATGCGTAGATCCACCCCTTTCTGCATAAGGTCTACATCCCTGTGTCCTGCCATCTATCTTTTATTTTGCTGTTAAAATCATTTATACTTTGGCTTTCTTATATAAGGAAAATATGAGATAGTTAAACTTCCGTGTCCAAGTTATTTTACTTAGCATTATGGTCTCAAGAGGCACCCATTTTCCTAGAAATGAGTCAAATTTATTTGTCTTTATGACTGAGGAGTACCCGTTGTGTATATAAACTTTCCCTTCATCTGTTTACCTGTTGATGAGCATATAAGCCATTTCTGAGGCTTAGTTATTGGGAGTGCTGTCACTGTAAACATGAGTATCCATGTATCACTGTACTATGATGTCTTTAATTCTTTCGGGGAGCTACCCTAATATAGCCGGGTTGAAGTGGGGCAAAGATAGCCTCTTTAACAAATCGTGCTGGAGAAACTGGTTATCCATGTCCAGAAGAATGAATCTAGACCCTTATTTCTCACCCCGTACTAAAACAAAATCAAAATGGATCGAAGACCTAGATGTTAAAGTGGAAACCCTTAATCTGGAAAATGAAATGGGTAAACTCTTGAACACAAAGGCATAAGCAAGGAATTTCTGAACAGAACCTCAGATGCACAGGAGTAACACCAACAACCAACAAATGGGATCAGATCATGTTAAAAAGCTGCTTCTACATAGCAAAGGATACAACCAACAGAGTACAGAGACAACCTACAGAACGGGCAAACGAATTTTCTAGCTACTCCTCAGAGAGAGTGCTAATACCTAGAATATATGAAGAACACAAAACTAGACTTCCCAAATTAAAGACTCAGTCACAAAACAGTCAACTGAAATGAATAGACGTTTTCAGAAGTGCAAATGGCCTGTAAGTGCACAAAATAAGTTCAGTATCTTTGGCCACTGGAAAAATGCAAACCAAAACAACACTGAGATTCTGTCTCACCCCAGAAAGAGTGGCTATTATCGAGAAAAAAAAATGACAAATGCTGGTGAGGCTGTAGGGGAAAAGGAACCCTTCCACACTATTGGTGGGAATGTAAACTGGCCTAATCACTATGGAAATCAGTGTTGAGATTTCTCAAAAAGTAATCTGACTTACAGCATGATAATTTTGGCCACTCTTGTGATTCATAAAAATAGAATTTGAGTTATATTTCACTTGTTATTTAGGTGCAATTTACCCCTGTTATTGTGTATAATGCAATGTATTCTCTTGTTTTGCTGTATTACTATATCACCATTAATCAACCCATTTCACAGTTACACTTGTTGTTTGTTGAATCTCACTAATGAGATACTGACCGGTTTTTAAAAGTTGTGGCCATTGTCTTTTCAAATATTGCCTCTCTTGACTTTTTCATCCGTGCCCTGAGATTCCAGTTATTTGCTGATTAATCTTTAGATTGGGTCCCAGGTGTCTCTAGACTGTGCCATTTCTTCCCTTATTTTTTCTCTGTGTGCTTCAGTCGGGTATTTTCTGTGACGCTGTCTTCAATTTCATTTGTTCTTCTTTCTTGTGAGTCCAACCTGCTGCTCATCTCATCCAGCGCATCGTTACTCCCGAGCGTAGCACCGTAGGAGTCAGGTCTCCACGCCTCTTCAGGCTGCCAGCTACTTGTGCTGTCTGGAAACTGTCGGTTACGGAAGCTCCAGGGGAGGTTATTTTCCCCCAGCACATTTACTCTTTGTTTGGGTTAGACAACTGGGGCATTTTAGAATAGAGATTTCATTATTATTTAGGTATGGCTGAGAAGACTGAATTGAAAAGGTAGTTTGTTACTCAGAGAACCCAAGCAAAATGGGCGTGCCGTACCCTGGACCAAGCAAGGAAGATCAGGGTCAGTCGGGAGGCAGAGGGAAAGGCAGCGAGCCTTGAGCAAGAGATTTTCTTGTGGGTTCTGTGAGAAAGAACAGGAAAGGCAGAGTAAGCAGACTTAAGACTGGCTTTTTTGAGTAGTGTTAGCAGGCTGATATTGCTGGCCCTGGGGTGATTGGAGCATCTGGAGTAGTGGCTCGCAGAGTAGAGTCCCATAAAGAAGGTGGTTGGCGGTACGGGCTGGCTTGGTCGGTTTGCGTTTGGAAGTTCTGTTCACTGGCGAGGGTTATTCGCTGTCTCTAGGAGCTGGCAGATGTTTGAAGGGACAGTTCCCGCAGCACCAGCAAGGCCCTCAGGAGTCAAAGCTCGAATACAGAAAATAAGAGAAGTTAGCTGTGTTGTAATCAAGTTCAAAAGGCATTAGTGGTGACGAATAAAACTGGGAAGGAAAAAGCAACATGTTTCAATCAAAATTTCAAGATGCAGTGTTTCTAAAACCCTATTTAATTCACACACATACACACATGTGCGCACGCACACACACAACTTGAATAAAAGCAGCAGAAATTATAATACCATTATTTTATTGAGCACAATGTTGGAGGAGGTTGGTTTTTTAAAAAAAATAATAATCAAATCCCCTAATAAAGTTTAAAGCTGTCCAAACAACTAACTGAGGTTTTTGGCTATTATTTTCAGGCTAGTATTGATGCTGAAATCTATAATGTCTATCACAGGTTGGCAAATAAGACAGACTCTATCTCTCTAAAGTCTCGAATTGATGCCTGATTACTGTGTACTATTCACCCCTCCTTACATCTTCGCAGCTGTAACAGATCCATGTGATATGCTAATAAGAAGAAAAATTGAAAGTAAATTTAAGGGGCTGGGGATTTAGCTCAGCGGCAAAAGCGCCTGCCTGGCAAGCGCAAGGTCATGAGTTTGGTTCCTGGTACCGGAGAAAAAAAAAAAAAAAAAAAAAGAAAGTAAATTTAAAAACATTTTTAAATAAGGAGCGAGGACATAAAAGTAGAAGGCAGAATATTAGAGAGAGATGAGGAAGGGGATCGGGGAGAGGAGGGAATATGTAGGGGGCATGGAGTGAAAATAATAAAAGTACTTATATGCACACACCAATGTGCTAAAACAAAGCCCATTATTCTGTTATTAATGTGCACTAGTAAATTATTTGAAGAAGAGACTGAGATCTGAAGTCATTCTGATGTAAGAGGCAGTTCTTTGATTTCTTGTAGTGAAATACTTCACCTCTATAAAATAGGAACAGTAATAAAAGCTATCTTACAGAAATAAAATCATCTGTTTAATTAAATAACCTGTTTACATGGTATCTGGCATACGGCACAGATTCAAGACAAGCCAATTTTATAAATTCATGTAAATACACATACACACAAGTAGATATTTACATCTCTCATCACCACCCTGTTCACGAGAGCTCTGCAAGTGTAGCCCTTAGCTATGGTGTCAGAGCATCTTTTGAGAGATCAAAAGCTAGGTGTCTCTTGAGCCTACAGCATAAGTCGGATGCAGTGTTATTCTGAAACTTTTACCCTTTTCTTCAGCTTTAGCAATTAATTTAAGACATATGAGTATACTTTGGTATGGTATAATATAATGTAGTAAATAATGCTGCTTGTAATAGCTAGTATTTTAAGAGCACTCACCATATTTTAGGTTCTGTTCTATGACGGAGGTCAGAAAATTTTTTCTTAAAGGGTCAGATAGTAAATAGTATTAGACATTGTGGACCAAGAGACAAAGTTGAAATATATCTAGGTACTGAGGCAACTACCTCAGAGTTTAATTTTAAAAGCATAAAGAATATTTTTTAGCTCATAAGTCATGAAAAACAGGCTTCTAACTAAATTTGGCCCATGAACTACGGTCTGCTGATGCCTGTTCTAAGCACGTTACACATATTAACTCATTTAATCTTTCAACCGCCTATCAAGTAGTACTATTATATCACTATTTTAAGACAAAGGAAATTGCAGCAAGGAGAGGTTAAGCTGCTTTCTGGAATCAGACAGCTATGTTCTATTAGTATAGAGTAAATAATAGGGACTAGTAGAGTGGAAATTATTTTCTTTATGTACATTTTTTCCTTTTTCTTTCAAAACTTGTAACACTAACGCGAGTCTTTACTTTAACAGACCCTGTACTTCAGCCCAGAAGTGGCTGAGGAGTGCTGTTTATATAGCAGCTAACTGGCCTGCTTCATCGAGGGGCTGGGCTGAACTTGCTGAGCATGTTGAGTATGCAAATAACGTGCCCAGATCCCTCCCCTCCTGATCTTAGCCACTCTAGGCTGACCGCTCAGAGACAGACTAATGAGAAGGACCCTTTGTTACACAAGCCTGCTTTCTGACACCCGGACACTGGGAGGGTGGAAGCGTGCTGAAACCTACGTCACAGGAGACGGTCTGGGTGTAGCTTTGCCTTTGCTCCTGTTACCAAACCTTCATAAGCCTTCTCAGCCCCTAACTTCCGCATTTTCCCGGCCAGGATACAAATGGCCACTATCAAACATGTAATAAAAATTGGGCCACAGAAAGAAAAGACTAGAGGACCCATTTCCTTTCGAGCTAGCAGACGGCAACCGCATAAAATAATGAAGCTTTTATCAAGGGCTTCCCAATGCGAATAACAATGCAGCATTCATGCGCCCAGATGGCACATCACAGTTGTTATCTTTACGTAACCTGGTGATTACGACAGTGCTGCAATTGAAGCTAAACCACCCGTCAGTTTGTCCTTAGACCTTGCCGGTAACGTCAGGCCAGTATTTGGAATGCTGATGACATGCGCTTATACACAGGGCGGAACTTTAAGCATTACTGTCTCTAAAAAAAAGTCCAGGACAGAAAACACAAAGAGGCTTTGAGTCCCTAGCCTATGGCATCAAATAAAGGCCCTTATCCTGATAAGCCAATATCCTGATAAGAGTACCTGCATTTTTCTGGTTAATGGTGTAATGATTCTCTGAGATGGGTATCATCTTTCCTGGCTCATGAATCAGAAGCAAAATCAAGTAGAACTAGCTTTGTAACGCACAGCCTCAAATCAGGTGGTCCTTGGTTAAATAAGCATCATTCTGGGAACATTTCAAAGACTTAAAGCCTGAAAATTCCCAGTATTCAAAATAATCCCTATTTGCCAAGGCCAGGCATTAAGAGTTCTGGTCAAATTATAGATAGTATTCTGAATATAATAGTGAATAATGACATATTCCATAAGAGGACTTCTGACTGCAAGTCACTAGTAACCAATAACTAGAATGATTTTAACACCTCTTCCAGACAAAAGGCACTACGTGCTATATAGTATTACACAAAATTCAGTGGCACAGTCTGTCCAGAGACATAATCAATACCAAAATTATGCTAGAATAATGTATGCTTTCAGAACACAGCTGATACACAGGATAAACAAAACAAGTTATTAGACGGTAAATGCTTACAGATATTAGAATCCTGTGAACCTACTATATTTTATATAAGAAACAGCTGAATCCTGGCAAATTTGTATGGACCAAACTACTATAAATTAACAGAGATTTCTTTAACATATGGAACCTTTGCCATATTGTCATTCAAATTAACTCGTGAACATTTCCCTTAATACTTCAATCATGCAGACCCATTTGGAACCATAAGCCCTGGAACCCCTAATGGCTTCACTAGAAAAAAGCTATGTTTACTTTCCTGCAGTCACTTTTGTGATTTCCCTGAAGAGGTGACATTTTGCTCTCCAGGCTTACAGCTTCTGGGTCTTCTTGTGGCAGCAGCTGAGTGTATCTGAGGAGAAGGCCTATTAGCCTTCATGCTGAGCACCCCTAGGAGCACAGAGAATCCATAGTCATGCGGCTTTTCCAGAGCAAGGCTCTAAGCTACACCACAGCCTGGAACGTACCAGCAGGAAATCTGCCTCCATAGTAGCTGTCTGTGAAATTTGTAGAGAGTGGCAAAATGGGAATCCATTATGCAAGTGTGTATGCAGTTAGACTCCCTCAAATTATTGATCTAATATGGCATTAATCATATCATAATGTAAAGGATATGCTTTTTCCATTCTGGTAGACAACAAGAATTTAAGTGAGGTTATTTTATAGCACAAGCACATATAAAAGTTTTTAACCAGGCACAAAAAGGCAAATAACCACATGACCTTACTTACATATGAAATCTAAAAGTGTCAAAACCACCGCAGCAGAGAATGGAATGGCAGCTATCTGAGGCAAGAGGAGGGAGAGGAAATTTGGGGAAATGTTGGTCAAAGAACACAAAATCTCCACTAAACAAAAAAATATACCTCAATATACCTTGTGTACAGCATAATTAATTTTGTCTTGTACTTTTGAAAATCACCAAGAGATATTTTGTGTTCTCACCACAGAAAAAGCATGTGAGATAATATATATGTTTATGAGCTTGAATGAGCCCATCCACAATGTATAGATGTTTCAAAAGATGTTGTACACCAAAAATATGTGATTTTTCTTTGTCAATTTAAAAATTAACAATGAGATATTTTAATACATTTTAAAAATAAGCATTTGCTAAACATCTTACTCTGCTTCAGACATCATCTCTTTACACCCACAGCTTTCAATAACAAAGCAGAAGTTAGAACCCAGGCTTTCAAAGCAAACACGGAGTACGGAGGTGCCACACCGGCCTTGTGGCCTTATTTAGGAATCATTCTGAGCGCTGTTTGGTAGACATTATGTAATATGTTTTGTAAGACAAACCAATTTGGTAAAACTGAGAACTAGAACAGTTTGCTTTTCATTTCTCTGAGAGAGATTGTGTGGAATTAGAAGTTCCTCCATGGAACACAATGAGACTTTTCATGTGAACAGTGAGCATAAGCAACCTCGATGGTTCTGTCCAAAGCGACTATTTTCTTAAGGAGAAACAACCCAGAGTTCATGATAACCCCCTCCTAACAGCATCCAACTGAGCCACCCAGCTTAACTTCCCTAGGGAGAACGTGCGTCAGATTGAGCACAAATATTTACCTAGATGGACTTGAAAAAGATTTAAGACTGCTTCCGGGTGTGGGTTACCAACCTGCCCCAAAGGGCTGGGCAGTCACAACGCGGACGCAGTGACCATGCCAAAGACTGTGACTGAAATGTCAAATCGGTGCACCAAGTTAGAGCTGAATAAACACTATACACAAAAGGAGAAAACATATCCTTAGAACAAGCCAGCACTGATTTCGCTAGAGTTTTCACCTCTCGGTTGTGACATTGGGAATTTTCTTGGAGTTTGCCTTACCCAGGTAAAGTCTGTGAAGACTTGTTTATACCTTCCTGCA